AAAATCACCTGGAACTGAAGAGCCCAAAGGATGTGTTGCTGCTTCTGAAGAGGCTTCAGCTGTAGAGTTTCAGTTAACGCCTGGCCGCTCACAGAAAAAGGATGTTTTGCATCAGAACAGTAAAACTCTTACTTGTGAAGAAAATCTCCTGAATCTTCATAAGGAAAGACATATAAATATGCACAGATAGAATGTAACCCTCTCCAGGCACATACATTATCCTAAAAACAGGTATGTACTCTAGAAGTTGCACATTCATTTTCTTTACATTTTTTTGCCTTTTTATTTTTTTTACATTTTTGTACAATGAAGGGAGATGAATCACCATCCAGGGCTTCTGTTTTATGATAGTGCTATATCATTTGTTTTTCATTACACTATAATCCCAATTTACATGCCACTGGACAACAAATGCAGTGAATACTAACTGCTTCTTGCCCTGTGGCTTTGCACTGACTGGGACTGCTCTCTTCTGGGAGAAATCTGCCATCTTGCAGAACTTCGGAATTCTTCAAAAAGTAGTTTTTCTGTATCAGCCTCCTCTTCCCTCTTCAACTGAGCTGTGGAACAAGAAACCAGCTCTACTCATTGATCCCTTTCTCCACAGTCAGATGGCCTTAAGAGGTGTTCAAAAGCACTTGATGAAGCTGAACTTCTGGTTTTACAAGAGTTTTGGGTAACTAGTGAGTTGGAATTCTACAATATTTCCAGACAAGCCATGAAGTATGGCTAAGCAGACTGGAGAATAAGTCGAGGGATAGTAAGTCATCTCTTGATGTCAGTTTACCATGACTTAAGTTCAGTAAGCCATTATTAAGAACACAATTATTACAACACAGTGTTAGGCCAAAAGCTAAGGTTACCAAAATAAGAAATCTTTGCAACATCATTAAAGAGGATAATGTGAGGTCAATGTAGAATAAAGACCTGAATACCAAAGCAGATGGAAACTGATAGCCACACAGCAGTACTGGAAGCTTTGTTTCTGTTTTGTGCTAAGCATTTTGAAACAGAAGTAAAATGATGGAACCTAAGATGAAAAAGTGGCTCTGATCTCTTCCAAAGTTTGAAAGTGCTTCAGATCTGGAGTTTCTGACCTTGCAAAATGCCTAACAATGACTGCACATTTAACAACAAAAGAAGATCTACAAAGCAACTTCTGGATCAGATCCTAGCGTGTAGCACTGCTGCTTTAAGCCTCACTGGTGGTTTGGTGACCCAAAAGCCAGCTTAGCTGTATGAGAATGCCATTAGTCTCTGGAAACATTCCTGCAGTAGACCAGAGCCGGCACGGCAACTCCGAATGCCACTCCAATTCCAAATGTCACTGCTTGCCAGAAGCTGTAGCAAGGGAATTTCCTCTAAGATACAAGGCTAAGCATGGGACCAGGTTTTCCCGGGAAGTTCTGGAATCTCCATCCTTGGAGATTTTCAAAATTCAAGTGGACGTGGCCCTGAATAATCTGATCTACATTTGAAAATAGCCTTCCTTTGAGGAGGAGGGTGGACCAGATGACGTTCAAGTTTCCTTCCAACCTAAGTTATTCTATGATTCCATGATGTTGCTAGGAGAAAAGGCTGTTGTTCATCACTGCCCGTGAAAACCACTAGTACTCTCCTATTGCAAGCTATTAAGCTGTAGCAGAGGAACTGGGCCTATTTATACAAAATAGATTGCTTTGCTGCTATTAGATATCTAACTTCTGCATTTCCTGGTTTTGCTATATTATATTACTCTGCTTTGGGCTTTTCTTTTGCACATATTGGCAGTTTTCCCAGCATTCACGCATTCACATATGTATAAATATGTCTAGCAAAGTCTTTAGGTTACGGCAGCAATAGTCTACAGCTTGCCACTATCTTTTTTGTCACATATCTATTTGAATAATGCCTTATCTTGGAACCATCATAGCAAAGAGGATATTTCTTGAATGGCTTTGAAATGAGCTATCATGACCTGTTGATTGCCAATTATTTAATACTTGGACACATCCAAACAACTGGAGAAGCAATGGAAATCAACTGGGAATTACAAAACTCAGAGATGATACTATGTATTCCAGAATTACATGAAAAGGATTACGTGTGTATGGAAGCCTCTGTTTGGAAATTGAGATGATTAAAAAAAGTCTGAGATTGATAAGAGATAATTATGTAAACATATGATTTCCTAAATTACTGTTTTATTAGTTTTCTTATTTTTTCACTCATTTTTATAATATTAATTCGAGGAAAAATATTTGCTATAGTGAAAGTAATTTTATTCATGTTCTTATTCTTTCACTGATGAAGATAGTAACATGACTTTTCAATTCATTAGTACTTTTCCTCTGAGGATCTCAAAAGACTGTATAAATTTTCCCTCACTCTTCAGAACTTCATAGTTACTTACATGGTAGCCAGCAGCGTTTTTCATATGACAGGGATATGACAGTATGCAGTTAAAAAGGTGTAAGGACTAAGATTGGACATAGAGGATAGAGATATTTTTAAATGCCCCACGATGCAATAAAATGTAACGCAGAGTCTGTAGGCAGCAACTTGATACAGTTAGGTTGTAGTTTTAATTTTTGCCGAGGGGTTGACAAATATTTTTAAGGTAACAAAGCCCTTCACACTACATCCCACTTTTTACATTTAGGAAGATATACTGGTTCTTGACTGACATATACAGCATTGCTTCCATGGAAATTATGTCCTGTATTATTCCCAGTAGTAAAGCCCTAGGATACATATAGTTTATCTCTGGCACATCAAAAAATGAAAATATGAGCTGCTAGATTTGGTTTCAGTAAAGTCTGAGCTCCCTTCCCCCATTTGCAAGCTTGGTGCTTTAACTTCATCTCTCATGCTATGGGGAATGAATTACAGAAGCAATCTATCCTAATTTGTTAACTTATTCAAATAACAGTTATTATACTTAACTATGCTAAAGATTATCTTTTTGGTGGCAGATTGTTTATTTTTTGATGAGGCTAATTACTGATTTTCCAAAGGTAATTTACATTTATTACTAATACATCTTTTAAAATGTGACAGATAAATGTTGTTCCCATAAGTGTATTATGAAAAAAGTTACTATTTAAAAACACATTATTTAATTTGAAAGATAAATGGCAAACACCATTATTTTTCCTGTAGCACCTGTGCTGTAAGCTCATTTAAATGTGTAATTCCATGTGTAGCTGCAATACTTAGAGAAAAATAATCTATAGTATATGTGTACCTTAAAAGCATACTGAGAATTCAAAGCTGAAAAAGGCATCGTTTCAAATGTAGTTCGATTTTAGTATTTGCCTTGGCTGGACAGGAGAATAAAAGTAATGGTGAAGAAAATATTTTTGCCAAATGTTGCAATCCTGTTATTTAGCAGTGTGCTGCAAAAAAATGACCGTTGTGGGAAAATAATAGCGATTCTATAAGCAGGCTTAAAAATGTCTCTGTCAGCACTGACTAGTCTCTCGCATGAGCCAACACAGAGTTCTTCAACAGAGGTGCTCGTAAAGCTATGCTGATTTTATTTCTCAGTAGGGGACAGCTTGAAAGAACTGTCTTTCTGTGTATGAGATCATGCGATCTTCTGCTATCACTGTGACCCGTGACTCACCAATGGGGTGGGAATTTTTAGTCACATATTCAATATGCGTAGAGACCAATACTTTAAGGAGGTTTATGTGGTGTGTCCAAAGTCTGTTCTAGAGGATACCTTAGACTTCTGTGTGTAATGTTAGTTCTTACAAGTAAGTCACAAAAGCTATTTCCTTCCTTTTGTACAGAATTTGTAATTTAAACTTAAGTTTTAACTTAATTTAGGAAAAAAAAAAGTATTACTTGGGCTTAAGAAAACTAAATTGGTTTTATCTGACAGTGCTGCAATGTTAGCCAGAATATCCTGCCACTTACTAGAGCCAGGAGAAAGCCAGGACTGGCACTCAGAAGGCCTGACTGTTAGTTCCTGTTCAGCAATAGATTTTTTTGGTATGACTTCTTCCTTCCTTGCCTCAGTTTCTTTAGCAACAAAATAATGAGAATAATGATCAATGGGACCTGTGAAGCATGATTTATTCACTGAAAAGTGTTTTGAGATCCACAGATAAAAGATGATACATAAATGCAAAGGACTGTTAGTTAATTATTCATTGCAGAAGAAAAATAATATACAGGTTTACACACTAGTTAATATGTAATAATTTACTTTTAGAGACTAGAGCTACAAGAACAGTCGAAATCTTTGCTTACCATTTTTTTCTTGAGGTTTTTATAGGGAGGTAGGTACTATAATGTTTCTTTATAGAGTTTAAGACAGTCTGACTTTTTTTAGCTCCTTACAGTAGCTGACTTTAAAAAAAAATAAGTAGAATAAACAGATAATCTTGTATTGTCTACGAATTACATAGTTTTTGAAAAACCTAACATAATCCATCAGTGAGACTTTTCTTACTATAGATATATGAAACTCATGCCAGAGTTGTAGAAACCTTTTTGATACAATCTTCCCCTTTATTCATATCAGTTCTTCACTAATTTCTAAACAAACTTGAGCTTTTCACTATTTTCATGTAAGTATATTTCTTCTATAAAAGGGGGGGGGGGGTGTCAGTTACAGGAAATAAGATCAAAGGAGAAGGTAACTGGATAGATCCAGATATTCCTGCTTAATTTGGAAGGCACATAATGCATGTCTGGAGTGCCTCCTAGGAAATGCCTATGAGATGTACTTTGCACTAATCTTTGAGCTGTATTCTGACAGTTATTTCTTCATAATCCTCATAATAAACCTGGGCTCTTTGATGAATAGTTTAACCCTAAACTCTGAGCTGGATAATTCTATAGTATGAAAAATTAACTCATTGCTGGTATTAGAAGTGTCTAAATAGCTATTTACAATTTAAAAATACAGTGATGACACTGACTATTCATGGACCACTTCTGTGACAATCCTTTTCCTCCTCTCCATTGAAATCTCATTCTATATGTTTACATGAATATTAAAATAAGCGATGGGTAGATCTTCTTCTTGCTTGGCTTTTGAAAATTCCTATGTTTTCATTGATCGGTGCACTTTTGAATGTGCTGAAGGTAAGTTCGCAGGTAAGGATGAGGACAGGATCCAGGGAAAAGGTCAGATTTGATGACTTCCCTTGTTTCTTTAGAAACAAAGTCTTTACAAAAATCAATGAGTTTTCTACATCAATACGATTTTTTACACTGACTTGTACCTCAGGCTGTTAAAAGTCATTGTTTGCCTACTGTATGCTTCTGCATTAAACGCGCTGGCATGTGATCATTTAATGACTATCTATGGTTGTTCTGGAAGAGCTATGTTTTGCAAATAAAACTTCATTTTCTGTAACCTACTATTACTTTTTTGTTTCCTTTTAGAAACTTGGCTGCAATTCAGGTGCAGGTTCATCCTGTAAACCCTGGGATGACCTCCAATTCCATTGTATCACTGCCTTTCATTACACTGACTCCCAAGATAGATTTTCTTTCCAAATGTGATTTGTCCATGTTGGCTTTGTGATCAGGCTGCATATGCTAGTCCTATTTCAGTGATCATTTTGTATCGTAGCAAGGCCATTTGCTTTCATATGGATTCCTCTCCCAAGCTACCTCTAATGACCTCCCCTTCCTAAATTGGATGCTCCTGTTATCTACTTATCACTGGTTCTCTTCTTTAAAGTTTTGAAGTTCCTCAGAATTCATGATCAGTCTGGTTTATCTTTTCAGAACTGTACCTGTCAGTACTCTTCTATTTTCTGTATCAAATTTAATATTTATGTGTATAATGCATAAGTTTATTGAAACTATTTTACTTTTAAAGTGACAATTTTGTTGGACTGCAGCAAAAAGAAGTCGTTAGCCCTCCTGATTCAATACATCTAAAAATTAAGCAATTAAAATAAATGGCGTTTTATTTATTTAATTTTAAAAGTTAATCTATGCAACACTTCAAGAAACAACTACATGGTGTTGTATATTAGGAACTGTTGACATTCTACTGAATTACGTACAACATTTTGGGTTTTTATGCTTCTTGAGGTGGTAATGAGAAAAAAAGTTTTTAAAAAATGTGTGCCTTGCTGTATTTCTTATACCATTTATTAAAAAGCTGCTTTCACAGTGAAATTATGTTGGTTTGAAAGGAGGAAATAGCAAGGTTAAGATGTGTGAATAATTTCTGTATATATGTATAACCGAGTGCAAACATTGATGTATAATGACAGTATAAAATGCTTTCATGTTTGTGATGTCCAGTGATGTGGAAAATATAAGCCTTAAAACCATTAGATTGCATGGTAATTAGAATTGGCATAATAAACATAGTTTATTGGGGAAAAAAAAGCAGAACTGGTGATCTGTTTTACCTGCGTTCCAAGAACAGAGTGCTTTATCAAAGCGCAGAAGGATATGTTTTTGTTTGCAAATATTCCCTAGAGAGGGGAGATTCCATAGCTGGTGAAGATTTGTATTACCTGACTCAGAGGTAAAGAACCTTTTCACTAAAGATTCCGCAGGTCTTTTGGGCCAAACAAGGAGACACAAATATTTAGTAGTTTAAGCTAGTGCGCTGCCGACTGCAGTGGTGGCGATGAGCAAGCCCACTTTTATAGCAGATCTTTTCAGTGTTTATCGTTAAGAGTTTGTTGTCCGTTTCCTACAATTTCATATTTATATTGAAAAAGCTTTATATATATTTGCAGAGATACTTTTACAGTTGGCTCTTTAGACTGTACATTTTAACTGGTTTTATCTTGTGCTAAAACTATATTGCGTGGCCAAAACAAGCCAGACAGCTTTATAACCTATCTCTGCAAACATGGCATTCATCTCCTAAAAACGCCATTGGGAAAGGATGTCAGGAAAGTTCAAAGGCCAGGAATGCTCTCCCATACCATCTTTTATCATTATTTTTCCATGTAAATGTTTTTACAAAAAGCTTCAACATTCTTCTTCACATTTAAAAAAAGTGCATCAGTTTGACAAGCTTGGCTAGTAGCTTAAAGAAACTATACTGACAAGCTGATATATCCATACAAGACTGAAGGAACAGGTATTTGAAAAAACCCTCATTTTTTCCAAATTATTAACAGCTTCCTATTGCTGCAAGAGACAAATTATTTCTCTCTCAATTTAAATTTCCACTGCGTAGCCTTGTGTAGGCTATGGTGTGGGTAGGGCAGCAGAAACAACTCTTAGCTTAAATAAAAGTGTAACTAATAAGAGGCAATTTTTAAGAGTGCCTTCTGAATCCATAGTTTTCTGCTCTTGCGTATCTTGTATCATGTACAAATCTACCTGTCATTACCTAAAATGTATAACTATAGCTGAAGATCACTTTACTATTTTTTAAATATTTTTTTAATTATATATAAAGTAATTTGGATTATAATTCCTAATTTTAGTAAAATATTTACAGTAACAATTATGTTTGTCTATGAATTATTTCAGACATGATTTTTAAAAAGATCTTGATATGGGAATTGAATTTGGAATAATTCTTTTTTTTCTCCCTAGTATTTTCTGATTTATATTGTATTTTTTTTAAACTTACTTTGACTATAGTCGTGCCTTACACTGTGATGACAGGAAAACTAATAAGTCAGAGGCTTTTCAGATCTGTCACCTCACCCAACAGACTGTGCAGAACTCCATCAATTACTTGTACCATTCTGTTAGGCCATTTGCCACAAATTCGCTTTTTTTCCTGGGGGGAAATAGTAGTACTTGTCAAATCAATAAGCCACATATTCATCATACAATATCTGGAATATTGTATGGTCACAACTCAAATTTCTGTGGTTCCTTTCTGAGAGATGCTGAACATTTTAACTAATATTCCCAGATCTATATTACTTGGTCTCATGACATAAAGTCATCATTTTCATAGCTGTGACGCGAGACCCGTCATTATCAACTATTTCTTTTTTTGGCATGGTTAGAAACTTTACACTTTTTTATTTTTCTTCTCGGAATATATTGGACTGTTTTGTCAATAAAAATTGATTTCTAAAGGAAAAGAAATCCCTGATATGTACTCTAAAGGATTTGTTCGTGTCTTAGTGTAAGTTATATGCTTGTGGCGAAATTGTGCCTAGAACTTGCAAGAAGTTCTAGTGCTAACTCCTGAAAGAAAAATATTGGTATAGTGTAAAATTAATGTTGATGTGCCAATATTACCTCTAAGATCAGCCCATACATAGATTACCGTATAGATCCTGTTCCCTGCTGGTGAAATTTTCTTGTGGTCTAGAAGCGCGCTGCAAGCTTTCTGCAGCATTTTTCCCCACCTGAAGTTCCATCGGCTGCTTTTTATTCCACACGCTCCCTGGCTCATGCTTGAACAACATCTGCAACGTGTGAGGAGGCCATTTGACAGCAATGGCCTGGACACATGGATCTCCTTTTCCTGCCTGCTTCACATTCCTTCCACGCAGAGCCGGAGCGCTCCGGCTCTAGCCAAAGGGAACGCACCCTAACACTGGGGCTAAAAAACGAGCCCGGGACTACGATTTAGAAGGCGTTTTGTAATCACAGTAGTTTTATATATGGATAGCTTTGTAAACCGCGTCCCCAGTCTTTCTCGCATAATGGTTTTCCTTTTTCCCAAGGTAAGTCACGGAGTTCTTGTGGAAAAGTGCCACTACAGTTTCTGTAAGAGAAAATTAGGCGTCACCTCTGTGTCCTTATGGTTGGTTGTGTGCTGTTCAGTGTAGACATGTGTACAGGTAACATACAAACACAGGCAAAGATACTGAAATTGTTCCTGTTTGTTTCACAATAAACTCAGATAAAGAGTCGATGTCAGTTAGATGGCATCTCGACCTTCCTCCTTGGTGACAGGATCCACAGATGACATAGCCTCCCGTGTCACATATTTTAGACTTTTATTCCAATTCCCCTGTGTTGAGCAAAGCAACATGTTTTGACTAAAATGTGTCAGGTAAGAGGGATGCTTTTTTTTTTTTTTTTTGGCTTGAAGACATCAGGAACAATGTTGTAAAGGTTCCTGTGCTGCAGTGCACAGAAAAGGGGTTATTAATGTTTAGGCCAGACCGTACTCATTCTTGGCTCAAGAGGATTAACGGGGATGTCAAGTTCTTAGCCAAGTCAATCTCCTTCACTGACAAGTTTCTACAAACTTATTCCTAATAATAGCATCACTTTGAGAGGGATTTTGGCCAACAAACGACATCTGATCTATTGCCTTCAGTGCTGTGCTTCTAATTTTTCAGACTCACCCTCTCTTTTGTACCTTTTCTACCAACCTGAATCGCTTACATTTTTCATGTGACTACTGTTTACTCAGTAAATACATGCTCACCCCTGATTTTAGAAATGTTTTTAAGGACTAGACCATAAATGAACTTGGCATCAGGTAGGTATGTACACTGGATGAATTCTAAGTGCCTCAGTGCTTTAAAAATTGAATTTCCTATGCAATAGCAAGTAGTATTACTTTATTTCTGGGGAGAGGGGAAAATAACTAAGTTAAAAGTGAAGTTAGAATTGTGTAAGTCAGTAATTTTAGTGTACAGATATTACTGGGATATTGTTATTGTCAAACTAATTCTTAAAAATTACAAGTACAGAATTACATTATTCTTGAAATGAAATGCTGTGGTATGAAAAGAACAGATAGACAAGTAAATGGTTTTACCTCTGCCTTATATTGAGCTCATGTCTCTGTGACATTCTGCATTTGCAAATGGAAGTGAAAATAATTTTAAGAAGTCATACAATTTTTTTAAGATTTTTCTCTTTCTTGTAATTATGATGAGGATGTTTTAAATGCAGCAAGGATCCAGTTGTAGCATTTTCCAAAGAAACATTGTGAGACTGACAGGGAAAGGGAAACAGATTTCAAGCAACAGTGGGAAAACACAAACCGTTCTTGATGCTCTTCATTTACAGAATGAAAAAAATCAGACTTTGGGAGAACCGATACTGAGCATCAACTGTCTACCCCAAATCTATCCCTTTTTTTCAGGAGGAGTTAAATGCTATGGGAAATAACGTGCCCTCAGGCAAGGCGGTATGGCAATTTCTACTGTGCATATATACCTGAACTTCTGCTCTGTAGCTTTTGAATCAAAAGCCTGATCCCAGAACTGCCTTTAGAGGGCACGGGCTTTGTTGTTTCTTCATAAGGAACGGAACCAAATTTGGGCTGAGAAATGTCTGCCTCTAACAAGCTTGAAAATGAAGCTGTAACAAGCAGATTTTAAATAATATACAGTGGCAGATAAAATAAAAATATTAAAATAAAAGAAAACAAAAAAGCAATCTTTCTGTGAATCCTTAGTGGTCCCCTGCCAGTAGTTTAATCAAGAATACTCTAAGCTTGGTAGGATTATGATAGATCTATTAACTGATCATTATTTATGCTGATGTACCAATGCCAGAGAGATCTAGGTCTCTCTATAGTTTTTGCTTTACTTACCTCAAAGTAGGGCTTTTCAAAGTGCTGAAAAGATTATGGAAATATCTTTGCAATGGTTAAAATTGCGGTGTGAATAAAAAAACCCACAACCCTACAGCTCTGTTGGATTGCTGAGCATCTGTGCCAGCCCAGCTGATCAGTGATGCTTCTGGCCATATTTTGTGAAGGCAAAGCCTTTAAAGAGCTTTTCATGCACATAGAGCTCTATTTTCCACTACTAATATGGCTAGTAAAGAAAGCTTCCTCTGTAAGGGGAGTTTGCCTGAAATGAGAATACAAACGTTTCTCAAACCTGTTGCTCTTCATTTTACACGTCCTGCATCTCTCATCCTCTGGTCTTCTGAGCTGAACAGTCAGTTCTCCGCTCGTACCTTTGCTTCTTGCACAATTCAGCAACTAGAGGAAGGGTTTGGAAGTGATGTTTCTAACAGGTGGTTTACAGGTACCGGTTTGAAAGGTGGGTGAGCAGCAGAACAACAGGGGCTGGGAGCGAAGAGAAAGTGGGTGGTGGATACGTAGTGCCGCAGCTGTGCCGGCTGGGCTGGAGGGAGGGTTTGGGTCTGCAAACGGCATGCGGGCTGAGGGCTGAAAAAGAAGAGAGAAGCAGAGGAGGAGGTGGAGCGTCAAGGATGGTTGATGGGAACTAGCTCTGGTTCAGATATTTGTAGAATCGTAGAGGCTGCACTGTATTGCAACAGCTTTATCTCTATTGCTAGCCTTCTTATTGCAAACTGCAAAGTGATGCTATTCATGAGTACTCATTTTTCTGAATCTGCTGTTCGGTATGCCAAGCATATCAATCAGATGTACCATTGTCAGTTAATTAACATTTGATTGCATTAAACATAGGGTGTTGAAGAGGAGGTTTCTTCTCGGAGGGGGAGGGGTATCTATGTGTGAGTTCTTTGGATGGGGAGGGATGTGTTCTTAATAATTATCGTCAATTGTGAGTAAAGTCAAATTGTAATCTGTGTGTATGTATTTCTCTGCCACTCACCACTCTTATGATCACAGTAAGAGGGGAAGACAAAATGCATAATGTA